TGGTTTAGATCTATGTTTCTTTGCTTGAAATGTTTCCCAACTTCTGTCGTCTTAGGGCTGCCGTTGATGTTAAGACTATGTTCCTCATTGTCAATCCTATCAATTCCTTTAAAAGTCATTGGATAAACTCAATACGTTTGCTGCTTAACTTTTATATTCCAAGAAATGCAAAGCTGGTTTATGTAATTAAACTTTAATCTGATATCTCATTTAGTTAAATACTCTCTACTTATCCACCCCTATATATAGCGTCAGGGTGGCACCATTGTACAGACTCTAACTTTGAATGAACAGATACAGGTTCAACAAGCCATTCAGTCTGAATGTATCCAACAGAACATGTTGGAAATACTCTGCAGATTATGCAGCACAGTGGAGAGAGTGAAACAGAATTAACTTTTTAGTTCAGTGACTTTTCATCAGAACTAGAGAACTTTAGTGATGTGAGGGTGTGCTACAGTTTATAAGACATAGGAACAGAGGTAGACCATTCAGCCCAGTGAGTCTTCTCTGCCATTAAATGAGATTGAGTGTGAGCTGGTAATCCTCAACTCCATTTCCTGCCTTTTCCTTCAAGAGTCCGAGTTACAGTGGTGATATGCCCTCATATCTGTATGTTGTAGTAATTTGGAGCTATGGATAGTGATGGGGTAGAGGCTCCAATGTTCTTTCCACACGTGGCTGACCAGCAGTCTTTCCCAATCTTAGCAGTTGCCATTGACGTATGTTGGAAGGGTTTGCAGGTTGACTGTCCACCTGTTTAGCCACATCACTAGCACATCTTCCTTGGATGTCAAGTCCTGGAATGGGACTTGAATTCAAAGCTTCTGGCTTAGGCAGGGATCTACGCAGTGTGCCAAAGAGTGCCAATTAGTAACATAATAAGTTTGAATTTAATGAGACGTAGTGGGAAGGAGCGATTAAAGGACAAAAAAAGAAGATGGTGCAAAGCCATAGCATCATACAGCTCGAAACAGACCCTTCAGTCCAACATGTCTGCACTGACCAGATATCCTAAAGTGATCTAGTCCCATTTGCCAGCATTTGGCTCAAATCCCTCGAGACCTTTCCTCATCACATACCCATCCAGATGCCTTTTAAATGTTGTAATCGTATCTTCCTCATTCACCACCTCTGGCAGCTCGTTCCATACATGCACCACCCTCTGCGTGAAAATTTTTTTCCCTCAGGTCCCTTTTAAATCTCTCGCTTCTAACCTTAAACTTATGCCGCCTTGTTTTAGGAGCCCCCAACCTGGGTATTCACCCTATCCATGCCCCTCATGATTTTATAAACCTCTACAAGGTCACCTCTCAGCCCCTGCCGCTCCAGGGAGAAAAGCCCCAGCCTATTCAGCCTTTCCCTATAGCTCAAGCTTTTCAATCCCACCACATCCTTGTAAATCTTTTCTGAACCCTTTTCAAGTTAAACAATGTCTTTCTTATACCAAGTGGTCGAGAACTGAATGCAATATTCTAACATCTTTTATTACTTTGTCTGTCCCTCTTACCCCTTGTCTTCCTTTTGGTTGGAAGTATCATGCCTTTAACCATTTAATCCGTCTGGCCTTCCACCCTATTAGAGACTTCCCCTTGTGTCCTTCACTGTCCGCCTCTCTTTCCCTACATCTTAGCTAGAGATGTGACATGTTTTAACTTTTTCCAGTTCTGACGAAAGGTGATAGGTTTGAACCATCAGCCCCATTTCTCTCCAAAGTTGGCTACCTGACCTGCCAAGAGTTTTGTTTCTGTTTCAGGGTTTCAGACATCTTGTGATATCTTTGGCCACGGTCAAACTGGTTAACTCCCTTCCTGTCAAAACAGTAAACCCAATGCGAGGTGGGATTGTTTTCAAGTCACCCTGTTTTACTGGTAAAGATTCCACTGTTAGTTTCGCAGCTGCAGGTGGGGAATCTTTGCATATCCAAGAAAATTAGACTTAATTACCAAAACAGAATATTGTTTGAAAACCTGGACGCAATCCTGGCACCTGTTGGTTAAACAAAAAACACAGCAGGTAAGGAATGTGGAGTGTGTTCGGATCAACTCTATATCTGAATTGCGGAATTTTAGTATCAGGATAGTGATATAAGAGGGAAAAAATATTGTGCACCAAACTGTTATGAACTGGAGCTCACTGCCCAAAGGGCAGTCAAAGCGGTTTGAGTAGAATGTCTAAAGAAAGGAACTGGCAAAGTAAAAAAAAGTTTACAAACCAATGAGGAGGGAGGGGGAATAGAATTAACTTGATTGTTGTACTGAGGCATGATGGTCCAAATCGTAGGATAATACAACACAGGTTCAGACTGTTTGGCCCATCAATTCTGCACCATCTCTTGAGAAGAGCAATCCTATATACTGACCACCTGGCATTTGTATTCTGTGCCTCTATTTATAGAAACCCTGCTCCCACATGCAGTGATTGCTAAATAATTTGTGAACACGTCCTCTCTGCGCCATTCCCCACTCTCATCACTGTCACCCTTACCTTTTACGACTGTTAATTTCAGCCTGCCTGTATTGTTTGTACCAAAATACGTCATCCGACACTATTATGTTGAATTACCACTGCCATCTGTCCCCATCCTCTTAAAGTCTATTTCTATCCTCCTTACAGCTTGCTGCACTTCTGTTTTTGTAGTCTCCTAAGATACTGTTTTTATTCTGTGATGTGTGGACACAGTTTTTACCCAATTGCAGTAATTTTCCACTTTCCCAACTAAGATTGGGAGAGTGTGTGTTAGGTGGTGACCGGCACACCACTCCCACTGCTGTGATAACTTGATCTACCACCAACAATCGGCTCATTTAAGAGCAGACAGGTGAAGTGTGGATGAGTTTCTCGGCCTCTTACAGGCCTCCACACTGGTATCCCTGGTTGCCAGACATGCCAGCCAATCAGAGGATAGCAGCTCCTCGATTCTAAACACCATTGCTCTGGGCCTACTCCTTGGGAGATCCCGTGGCAAGAAAGTAAATTATTTTTCTTAACGATGAGGGTCGTGAAGTCAGTAGGGTATAGGCAAGACCAAGAGGGTGGCTTTCCTTAGGTACCCATTTGCCTACTATATTTTCTACTGATTTTCCCCCAGAGTGGGACAGTTGGAGGGTTCCCTCAAAAACTGGCTGTCAGATTGGCCCTGGTTTTGGCAGTTGGGAAATTAACTTGGCCACCAGGGATGGTGCTTAGAATCGAGGACCTGCTAGCCTCTGATTGGCTGACATGTCTGGCAACCAGGGATACCAGTGTGGAACCCTGTGAGAGGCCAAGAAACTCATCCACACTTCACCTGTCTGACCTTAACGAGCTGATTGTTGTTGATAGATCAAGTTATCTCAGCAGTGGGGGTGGTGTGCCAGTCACCACCTAACACACTCTCTCCCAATCTTAGTGATCTGGGAGGTGGTGAATTTAGGTCCCTAGGCCATTAACTGATCGCTTAAGGGCCTTAATTGCTGCTGAGTCAAGAGAGTCCCTAATGGACCTGTTCACTCAACTCAATTGCTGAGATCTCAGCAGGGCCGATTCATCAATTATTTCCCCTGCTTGCCACGCTCCAGAGATGGCAAATTTCCACCCAGCATGTACATGTGGAAGGTGAGTAAAAAGTTTACAACATACCCTGTAGAGTTCCCAGAAGACATTGTTCGGTTCCACAGGTTTGTAGACAGGAAGTATTACTGACTTATCGTTTTAGTAATAGTTGGGATAAAGCTTTGGTTTTAGGATAACTGGAATTAGATCTACCTGTTGCATCAAACTGCAACAAGGCACTAATGGAAAAACATTTCAGAATCTCGAATTGAAACCTCTTTTTCTGTTCTGTGCAGCTTCAACCCAGTGTTACTTGGCCTGTCTAGGCACTGGCGATTACTGAATTGCTGAAGTTTTAGAACATAATCTCTCAAAATTTTAATGCAGAATTATTTTTGTCTCATCTCCCCCCCTGTAACCCACCCTCCCCAAAACTCTGCAATCTTCCAGGAACTCAGTACTTCATCCTGAAATCCTCTGCAATGTCAACCCTCCTCTAATGCAGGCCTTTTAAACATTTCTCCCCAGCTCAAGCAATGGTTTGAATTGCACATTGCAGTGTTGCTATCTTTTGCAGTCTGTTGTAACAAGCGGACTCTGAATGGCACTCAGTTCAGTCCTTAGTGGGAAGTGATCTTTTGATGAATAAGTTTGATTCAGTAAAATTTAATTTAGGCCCTTGTAGAAACAGAATTAAGCAAAATGATATCATGGTGATTATCACCAATTCATAGTTTCATCTGAAGGGAGTTGGATTTTCTTGCTGAGTGTGGTTTTTATTCCTGAGGATTTTACTTCATTGTCTCCATGTCCAGTCACCATTTGAGCAAATCCTTACAGCAAGTAGTGTTTCAACCTGCTGTATAATTTGTCAACTCCTGCCACATCCACCCCACCCCCAGCACCTTCTCTTGCCCCCCCACCCCCACTCCTTAATACATCTGCGCTGAAACCCATCATTTCTGCTTTGGTTACCTCCAGATTTGACTATTCCAGTCTTCCCGCATCCTCTGTATCTTGAACTCAACCAAACTCTGCTGGCTGTGCCCTCTTCACAGCAGCAATCATTCACCCTTCACACTTGACCTCGCAGACTACATCTGCTCAAAGTCCAGGAATGCCTCAGTTTAAACGTTCTCATCCTTCTTTCAAATCCCTCCATGATCTTGCCCCATCCCCCCTCGATAGTCACTTCTAATCCCTCAAGCCTCCAAGATTCCTGCTGTCCTTCAATGTCCCTTGATTTAACTGCTCCATTGTTGGCTCCCACACCTTCAGCTGCCTTGGGCTGCAAGCTGTGGAATTCTCTGCCTAACTCTATTCTCCTCTCTTATGGCACTCAAGCTATATGAAACTAATTTTCTCTGTCTAATGGAGAAGGAGGCCCATGGTCCTTCATTGACTGCATCTAATTACCTAATGTTGCAATTTTTTTCCATTTTCACATTTCACATTTCACAATGCAGGATTTTGTGCCACTTTACCAAGATTTTGAAAATTTCTACAAGCGAAATCTGTACATGAGAGTCCGCGACAACTGGAACCGCCCAATTTGCAGTGTGCCCGGACCTACTTTTGACTTGGTGGAGCGGGTCTCTGATGACTACAACTGGACTTTCAGGTACAATGGGAAGCTGGACCCAGTCTTCCTAGCCTTATGTAACCGAAGATTGTAACTTTCTCATCTGAGTCAGATGTCTGTGGGGGGTCAGATTTTGTTTTTTCTTTACTTTTTCTTGGGATGTGAGTGTTGCTGACTGCCAATATTTGTTGCTCGTCCTCTAAATGTCCTTGAACTGAGTAGTCCTCCAGGTCATTTCAAGCTTAAGCCACATTGCTGTGAATCTGGAATTACATGTAGGATAGAATTGGATAAATGTCCACAAAGATTCCTGTCTGACAGTTTCTTTTCAGAAAAGGATGACTCTGTGTATGAGAGATGCGTGCTCTTATTATTAATTTAGATTGGCAGAAATGTAAATTGTTTCATAAGTGGGAGTTACCTTAAAGGACTGTTTTATTGAAGGAAAGTTTTTAACATGTAATGTTAGTGTGCACACTAGTCCCCTGGAGTCGCACTTCCCAAACTATTTTCCAATTTATCCTATTTTAGCACTTGAAAATTACCATGACCTCTAGAATCATAGAATCTCTACAATGCAGAGAGAGGTCATTAGGCCCATCAAGTCCACACTGACCCTCCGAAGAGCACCCCACCTCCACATCTACCCTGGCTAATCCACCTAACCTGCACATTCCTGGACCGTACATGGCAATTTAGCATGGCCAAGCTACCTAGCCTGCAATTTTTGGACTGTGGGAGGAAACTGGAGCACCTGAAGAAGCCCACGCAGGCACGGGGAGAATGTGTAAACTCCACATAGACAGCCGCCCAAGGGTGGAATCAAACCCAGGTCCCTGGCGCTGTGTTGCTAACCATTGAGCCACCATGCTGCCCAATGGCAACAAAAACAAAGCACTATTACAGCAAAATAGTAATATTTGGCTTATAATTATTAGCATTTGTGTTTTATAGATCAGTGTAATATACAAATATGAAAGTCTGTGTTTTTAAATACTTTGTAAAAATATTTTTATTTTATGTATTCATCTGTATAATATTTCTCATGAGCTGTCCCAACTTGTAGACCTTGACCAAGATGCAGTGGAAAGATAAATTGAGGGTCCTGACATGCCAAATGTTCTGCAGGCTTATATTGATAGGACTGGTCTCAGAAAGGCCACAGCTTGGCAGTGGAGGTACCTCTTCAGGGTTCATGGGCAGGAGACCATCTTCCATAGAGAGAGACTGAAAGACGAGCAGGACAAAGGCAAGGCCAAATGTCTCCTAGCTTTTGTTGCTGGCACAAGACATAGTCTTAGTGGAAAGGGAGTTCACGGCCTTAACCAAAAGAGCATTCCAACATTTTGATATTGAATTGGGAGGAGACTCACTTGTTGTCAGCACAGACTAGTAGGGGCTAAATAGTTCCGTATGTTCTCTGAGAAGAAAGAGTTTGTGAAGATGTGGTCCTTAATGGGAAAGCAAAAATAGGCAGTAAAAAAGTGACCATGATGGAAAAATAGTGAAGGGTAAAATGTCTGAAATTAAGGTGGATCTAATAAAAATAGTGGTTCAATCTGTATAATCGGATATCCTCTCCACAGACCTGTTCTGAAAATTGACTTGTCTCTTTCCTGATGCAACAACCTGTCATGTACTTGACCAGCGTTTTGTAGATTGACGTTAGGTTTTGAACAATAATCCCAACAACAACCCTCCCACTTCTTCTCTCCTCTCCGGAAACATTGCCAACTGTCCTCAGGAAGGTTTGCGTCCTTGTGTCACCTGGGTTCCCCTCCCCACTGCCCATTTGGAAGGTGTACTGGACTCAATGGATCCAAATAGCAAGAGAGGAGTAACCCTGGACTCTAGCCCCAGCATAACATTGGGCAGGTCTGCCTGTGCGTCCTCATTTAGCTCCCCTTACCCTGATGACAACACCCTCCTGCATATAGTTTGGGTTAGGTTACCAAGAAGTTCATTCCCCGTGTCAGACCTACTCGGGATTGCAGTCTGCAGTTAGTCTCAGGTGTGAGCAACTTCAAGACTATTGTGCTATGGTGGGAATTGCAACTGCTGTCAATACCACTGTCAGGCATGTTCCCAGAGTTCCATAAACAGAATTCCTACATAGATCTGACTAATATATTCCACTCATTCTAGCTCAAATGCAACCTTTCACCCTACTGAAATCTATTAACTCGTCCAATTTCCAACACAGAAATAGGCCATTCGATCTATTTGGTATATCCCAGTTGTTTATGTTCTGCACAAACCTCTTCCTATCCTGTGTCATCTTACCTTGCGTGCATTTCTGAGAGTGCAACACTCCTTCTTCGGTGTTGCTGACAGTTTTGGCCTGAAATCTATGCACAGATGCCTGAGGTGGGACTTGAACCTCAGGCCTTCTGATTCAGCGGTAAGTATGTTTCCGACTGAGCCCCAGGTTTTCAACAAGGCAGTGCTTCCCCAAACCTCTTCCTGCTGTGACCAACATTTCAAGGTTTGAAAATTCTCACGGTCCCTCGGCAAGAAAGCAGAATTCTTATTGTACCAAAGGAGGCCATTTGGCCCAGCATGTCCACACCTGATTCTCTGAGCATATTCACAGTATCCATCTCCCACCTTTCCCTGTAGCCCTGCATGTTGTTTCTATCAGAACCAAGAGCCTGGTGGGGAACAGATTTGAGAGCAAAAGGGTGGTGGTGGAGCTCCGCAGCAGTGATTCCTGCCTCGGAGTCCATGACCCCAAAATTTCAGCTCGTGCTCCTCCTTGGGGTCCAGACCCCCACTGAAGAGCCCTGCAATAAGGGGTCATTGTGCTCACTTTTCAGTCAGCACTTTTGTTAGCCACAGCTGTGTTTCAGGAGTTCACAGTCTGTGTATTTAATCCAAATTTTCTGGGTAACACTCACGAAGGTCAATGTCTGTTTATCAGGTGGGTACAAAATTCTGATAAAGCTGTTTTTCCTGTGAACCTTAACCCTGCAATGCATATGCTGCAGATTTAAAATCAGCCACTTCCTTCATTGCAGGTACACGGGACGAATAATTAAGGATGTGATTAACATGGGCTCCTACAACTACCTCGGTTTTGCTGAAAACAAAGGAGAGTCCTTGAACTCTGTGGCAGAAGTGACAATGACGTACGGTGTAGGAGTGTGCAGCACAAGGCAGGAAATGGGTATGTAACAGGCTGTGAGTGGGTAAGCAAATATTGACCTTGGCTGCGGTGTTATGCTGGATAAGGAGCCCAAGTTAAACAAATGTACATTGACCGCACGTTTTTTTTTTCATTAAAAAATGTATGTGATATTTGTTGGTCACGGGTCTTCGCTTTGCTTGCCTCTCAAGTTCAGGCAGTTAAAAAAAGAGACACTATCCTCAGTCACCCATCTGTCTCAGTCACTTTCCTTTGATTTTCACAAGTCAGACTCTTCTGTTTGGCTGTAAGCTGTAAACCAAAGACTTGCAGGTTTACAACACGGTTCATGACCTCAGGGCACTTAACAGCCAGGAAAGTACTTCTGAAGTGGAGTGTTTGTAGCCGATGGGGCACCTACATTATAAATGGCCACTGTGATCCATTTGCACGGGCATATTGCACCCTTATTGAAATGCAGCCTATGTGAGCCATAACTTGTCTTTGCTGTATCTTGAGGCTAATATGTCTGAAAGGTTAAACAGCCTTCTGCCAGAAAATTAAAGGAAGTGCTGAGATTAGGTATATACATGTCAGGACTGAAATAAGTCTTTTACCAACGTCCAGAGTTGGGCAAATTGCAGTGAAGCATGTAGGGTCTGATAAAACGCAGGGAAAAGATCTGTACAAAATTCCAAATAAGAGCAAGTACTTTTCAGGCAACTCCCATGAGGTCTTCCCAAATGTACTTTCACCTCTTTGGCCCTTATTTACATCCATTCACTGTACAAGGTGCACTACTGCAGGATGTGAGTTTAAAAACCACACTCTAGTTTTGAGCATGTACACACACATTGTGGAGTTAGCCCTTCTGAAAAGTGATTAGTGTAGTAAAGTATGAAATGCAGGAGCCAACTTGTGCAGAGTTACCTCTGGTGATAGTGATAATGATCTGCTTTCTCAATCATGTTGATAGACTGGTAAATACTGTGAGCAAGTGCAAAATAAGAACAGGAAATAAATTGCCTCTGCTCAGCCATTCAATAAGATACCTGTGAACATACGAGGAGGAGGAGTAGGTCATCAGTCATTCAAACCTGCACCACCATTCTGTAAAATCATAGCTGGTCTAATTGTAACCTCAAATCCACATTCCTGCCTACAGATGATAATCTTTCACCCCTTTGCTCATTAAGAATCTATCCACCTCTGCTTAAAAGGATGAGAATTCCAAAGACCCAAGACCCTCAGAAAAGAAATTGCCTCATCTCTGTTTTAAATGGACAGCCCTGATTTTTAAGCAGTGAGCCATGAATTGTCTCCAATACACTTACGTTCCCCTTTGAATAAGGAGACCAGCATTGTTTAAAGTACCCTAGATGTGATCTCACCGGTGCTGTATAAAACTGAACGACGTGGACGTGCCAGAGTTGGACTGAGGTGGACAAGATCAGAAGTCACACAACACCAGGTTATAGTCCAGCAGGCTTATTTGAAATCACAAGCTTTCAGAGCACGGCTCCTTCGTCAGGTGAAGTCTATACAAGAAGCTTGTACAGTTTTAGAAAATGTTTATTACTTTTACACTCCATTTTCTTTGAAACCAAAGCCAACATTACGTTTGCTTTGCCAAAGAGCATTGCGAATGTGGTAATCACCAACACAGGGCTGGGTGATGCTGGTAGTGTAGATGCATTTAACGGGATGATAGATAGACATGAGAGGGGGAAGGGAATAGAGGAGTCTGCTGTTAGATGAAGGATGGGTGAAAGTTTGAGTGGAGTTTCAACAGCTGGAGTAAACTGGGCTGTGTTGTATATCCTATGATACCAAGCCCAGAAAAATATCATCCTATAATCACAGAGGGTATAAAAAACTGAATATTTGATGGAAATAATTGGATTCTCTAGCGATCAGGTGTTTGCTTTCAAGGTCTCTTGCCACCATTCTCATGTGATTTTTGATTTTTTTTTTCCCCCACTTGTTCTGTTTGAAAGTAGCCACCGTGGTTTCTCACTTTGGATGCCAGTGGTGGCACTAGAGGATCTGGGGTGCCTAGTTTGCTTTCCCCTGGTTACTATTTATCAGCCGGTCATAGGTCAATGTTTTCATAGTGTGGAATAGGAGCATTCTTTCCATGCTTCAGAGTAAGGCTTTAGACCTTTCTTCAAGTCATGGTGCCACTATGACATGGGAGGAGTCTGTTCAGCCTGTTGAGTATGTGCTGGCTTTCTGCAGAGCAATCTACTCCGTCCCATTCCAAGCACTATATCCCTACAAGTTTAATTCCTTCCAGTGGCCACACAAGTTCCTTTTGAAATCATTCTTCATCTCCACTTCCACCCCTCTCCCTGAAGGCAACAATTCCATGTCATTACCATTCACTGTGTAAAAAGAGCTCTTCCACATATCCCTCCTGCACCTCACCCAAAATCTTAAATCTGAGTCCCCTGGTCTTTGCACCATCAGCTAATCACAACAGCTTTTCTTTGACTATCTTATCTAAACTTATAATTTTGCAAATCACTTCCCTTAATCTTTCATCTAAGGAGGACAAACCTAGATTCTTACCGAACAAACCTAACCTTGTCACTAAATCCCCAATTCTCCCATGCTGTCCGCTCACCCTCCTGATCATGGCCCCATGTTCACATACAGTGCCAACCAGGCAGAACATTGCAAGGGAGTGCCATTCAGCCCCAGGATTCTCTTCCTCCCTCCAGTGAGATCGTGCCTGATCGGAATCCTACCTCTGTCTAATGTCATGGTTCCCTATTCTTTTTTATTTTTGTCTAGCCAAAGAAATATAACTATAATTGAACTAGTACCCATAGCTTTCTGCAAGAAGGTACAGCTTTGTACCAACAGATGTGAACTCCATCATTTTGTTGCCTGTTGGAACCGGCTCAAGAACCACATCTTACCACATCTTTACTAAAACAACTAAATTGCAACAACCTGGATTTACTCAATTTTCCTCATCAGTGGAGAAATAGAATTAAAAACTGACAGCTTGGTGTCTAATTTATATCCTTTGTTTTAATTTGACATTTCAATATCGTTTTTGTCATCAGCAACAAATCTTATAGCAGGAACAAAAAGGAGTTTTGAGATCAGAGGCTAACTAGCCAGGGCCGTTAGGGTGGGGTTTGGGTAAAGTATCAGCTGTGATAATATTGAATGGCAAAGCAGGCTAGATGAACCTTTCAAAGAACGTCAGAAATAGCAACAGAGGTAGGCCTCAAGCCTGCTCCACCAGTTGAGAAGATCGTGGATTATCCTCTTCAACACCACTTTGTTCTCCCAGTTCCCAAGAATCTGACAGCCTTAATCTTGACTATACTTAAGCATCCACATCCCACCGCCCTATGAGTGAAGGTATTTCTCCTCATCTCGCTGAAATGGCTGACCACTTATCCCGAGACTCCGAGTCCCATGTTCTCCAATCGGGGGAAATGGCCTCTCAGATTCTATGCTGTTAAATCCTCTAGATTATTTTCATTCTTCTGAACTCCAGAGAATATAGGAAACTTCTTTTGAATCTCTTCTCTTTGGACATCTTTTGGATCCCAGAATTAATCTAGTGACGTTTTGTTGCATGCTTTCAAGACACCATTTCATTCCTTCAGATGTGGCTTTTATGTATTTGCAGCAAAATTAAATTATACTCGAACCCCTTTGCAAGGGGTTATGCACATCAGTAGTCTCCCTCAGTAATTTATTCCAAAAGTCTGTTACACTTTCTGTAAAAGAGATGGTTCCAGCTCATTTCCTATTTTATTGCTGAAATTGTAATTTTTAATTGTGTGCCCTGGTGTTTTGAACCTTGCACAACAAGGTTTGATCAACTTCATCGACTTTCAAAATCCTAACTACAGTTGTTGAGACATTGAATCCTTGTCAAATACTGAAAAAGTACAAATGCATCTTCCATTAGTCTTTCCTAATAACTAAAACACGACAATTTGGGAACGAATGACTGCACAAGCTGTGGTGCTTGTCCCATTCCTTGCCTCTTAGCTTTTTAGTTTTATTAATTGGTTTCCAATGATAGTCCCCCTTCCCCAACCACCTTCCCACAACTCAAACAATCAGGCTGTGGTAGTCACTTTCTGATCTCAAAGATGGTACTCCTATCTGAAGGTGACAACGTGAGGGTCTTAAAAGTATTATCTTGCCACTTATCCCAAACAGCATTGAGGGGCTACCTGCACCAATCAGAAGGAAGCTCACCATCACCTTCTCCAGAACAGGTAGGAATGGGCAATGGCCCAGCCAGCAAAGCCCATGTACCAGAAACAAATAAAAAAGCATCTGAAAAGAAAGTCAGGTATAGTCTGTACTATGAGTAACCATAGTGACAAGGGAAGTTGTTTGTCTTCTGCTCATCATTCTGGAAACTACTATATCTCAGATGGATAAGGGACATAAAGAATTGTGGATGCAATCCCAGCATACTTGGTTTGACTTAGTGCTTTGTTGGTGCAGTTCCCAGGCCATTAGACAGCTGCTCAGTTTGTGCTTTCGTTGCCTCTAGACTCAATTCCAACACACCCCTGCTTCATCTCCCGCATCTACCCTTAATGCATTTGAGGCCATCCAAAATCCTGATGACCATGTAGTGCATAGCACCAAGTCCCTGTTCCCCTATCACTCATGTAACTCACTGACCTACATTGGCTTCCAGTCAAGCGATGACTTGATTTTAAAGTTCACCTTGCTTTGAAATCCCACCATGGTCTTGCCCTCTCTCTCGATCTCTGTAATTCCCTCCAAGTCCCACCACCTGCTGAAATCTCTTGATTCCTGTAATTCCAGTCTTTTGTGCATTTCCGATTATTATCGCATCATCCTTGGCAGCAGAGCTTTCAGTTGTCTAGCCCCCAAGATCTAGAATTTCCACCCTACTCCTCTCTGCCAGCTTCATCACTTTCATCCTTTAAAGTACTGCTTAAAATATACCTCTTTGACCAAACTTTTGGTCATCTGACCTAATATACTCTTATTTGACTTGGTGTCATATTTAATTTTACCATGTTTCT